TATAGGCAGCAGTGACCACGGGCAGTGTTTCACACAGAACTCGTGTTTCGCTGTTAGCCGCAGTGACTGAGCAGCGCAGAGTTCTGGAACATTCCTGGAGAGACTCAAAGAAGAACATACACAGTGGGAGTTTGGACCCAGCCCAAGAAAAATAAATCCAGGTTTACATTTTATGAGTAAATGAGATCATATCTAGTCGGCCCTTGAAAGCTAGGGGACAAAAATGCATGTCTGTGCTGCTGTTAGATCAAGATATTTCATTTAGATTTGATAACTCATCATGTCTACACAAGGCATATGGTTTGTGTGGGTGTTTGGGCTGTAGAAATATGGCAGTGATGATGTTGCTGACATCTGTGGTTACGGGTTGTGGGCAGTCATGTTGATTAATAAATCAGCTATAGCTCTTAGTAAGCTACTAATTTGTTTCTTTTAAACAGAATTGTGTAAACACACACAAAGCGAGATTTGTTTTGCATTTTCTAAATAATGTACCAGATCATCAACCCAGCTATATGTTCTAAAAACGTTTTGCTAATGTTCCCATTAAGTTATGAAACATTGAAACGTTCAAAACAGTCATTTTTAGAAATGTTTTTTTTTTTCTTGGTTATGCTATCGTTAAGGAAACAATCAATTTTTTATCATTTTGCAAACAACGTTACTTTTGAATGTTCTCTGTCACTGAACACTCGGAAACAAGTAGTAACATTTAAAAAACGTTACTGGAAAACCTGTTTGAGAGAACATAGCCAAAGTTCTGAGAACGTTCCTAGTAATATTTTTGCCTTTGAGAGGATGTTAAAGGTTTGTTTGTTTTTGCATTTGGCTTGTCAATGCTCATTTATGACTGAGGGCTCAAGAAAAATTTGCATTGATTTTGTGGTTGGAAACCCAATAGCTGTGACAACTGTTGACATGCCACCAACTGTTCAATACAGGTTTATGCAAGACTGAGTACATACAAATTTCTGAAACTTGGATTTACAGTAAGCCAAGTACACATATGCATGGTCTGCAATGTGCCTCTCATGTTCATTACTATTTGACCTTTATAAGAGAAAGGCTATCTAAAAATGAAATTTCAGTGGGCAAGATGAGCTGTTGTCATAATGAGGCACATTCATGTTTTATTGATCATAATGTGCTGCAGATTATTGTAAGTTTTGCTTGCTCTTCTTTACACAACTACTCTAGAGCTTCTCTATCCTGAAATGTTTCTATATACAAACTCCGATTACCTTGGCAACGAGAGAAGGTGCTTGATCAAGCACAAGGTCCACATAACTGGCCCCAATAAATACTTTGCAGCACTTAATTTAGTTCCATGCCGAGGGCCATTAGCTCCTGCAGTCCATCTCTCAGCAACTGTGCGGCTGATGGAGAGAAAAGGCACAGCAGTGTCAATTTAATTAAATCCAGCTTGGCTGGGTGTGGCTGGTCATCAGCTGCGGGTAGCACATTTCTGACCGGACCAGAAATTAATATTGATGCCCACAATGTTGTTTTTCTTAAGTTCCAGAGTTTATTCTATTAAAAGATGAATTAGTGGACTGCCGATGTGCGAGAACGGAAGGCAAATCTGGGAACCCTATAGTATTAAATAAAAGTAAATAGCCACTCGTTTATTATTGTTTTCAATTTATTAGGTATTTATTTATATATATTCAAATATTTTGAAGAACAATGCAAGATAATTTAAACTCATTAACAACAACATGGGCCTTTTGAGGGCCATAATATTAAGAAATGTTGTGCTTCACTCATTCTTTTTAAAATAAAAAAAATTTATAAAATAAATAAAATGATCACTGTCATAATTAGCAGACTTTGCATGACATAATAAACGACCTCCAATATTAAGAACAAAACATCACATTGTATTTGACTTCTGAGTAAAGGAAAGTTGCAACAACATTTATTAAAACATGTTTTCTTTTACCAAAAACAACAAATTTGTCTAAAGAGATTTTTTAGTTACTCACTTCAGATTGAACAATATTTTTCTTATAAACAGTTTTAGCGTAATGACTCTAAGGAAATGTTGTTTTCTTTTAAGTTATTATTAAGATATCTGATAACCCTCATAACCTTAAAATAATAACCCTCATAACCTTAAAAAAAACTGCTGCAACAACTGCATTTTGAAAATGCCACAAATTAAAGAAATGACTAGCTAAATACTTGACATGATGTATTATTACAGCATTTGAATAACATATTTCAAACTCAAAGTTTTATAAAATCATATAAGATTTTAGAGAACTTAAAACAGCATAATAACTAGTCTAAGTCAATTTGGTTTTTGCGGCATGTTTCTTTGTGCACTGAATATTTTGGATGGAAATGTTCTCCAATTAAATAATCTATTGTTTAAAATAAAAAGTAAAAGACATGACAGACATTCAGTTGATTTACACATGAATATTGTCCTCTCAGGTTCCTCTAAGTTACGCTTGCTTATATGCTATTTGCTGTGGTTTGTACAACATATGTCTGGTTCATAAAGTTACCAAATAAGCAAACATGTTAGTCATGGTTTGTGAGGAGAGCATGTATATACTGTCACAAAACACATTCATTTAGAACAACAAATAGAAGAACATGCATCATAACAAAGTCCACAAGTCATCACTATGTAACTCCAGGGATAATGCCATAATTTGTATTCATTAACCAAGCGGGTTTGATCGTTCCCCTTCCCCTTTTTAAGCACTTGAGTATTACGGCTGTGAAACAAGCATCAAAGCGCTGTATGGGGCCCCACAGGCTTCGGCTGTATTAAAATCACAATCTGTCTAATTACAGGTAAGCACAGTCAGAGTGGTGAGAAAAGGAGAATGTTTTCTACAGAGATGCCTTGAAGGCTTTGTTAATACACTGACTGGAATAAATTCCTCATGCGAGGAACTCAGGTGCCACACATTTCCTGTACCGAGAGCCTTTTGAAACAGCCTTCCAGGTGAGAGTGAGACTGTGACTCAAGTTGTCTCCACTCGAGCCGTGAGTAAACATCATCTCGCACTTGATCCTGCAATAAGCCCAGTAATGAGGCCAAGCACTTGGCATTAAGATCACAGAGCGCTCTTCTGCCCTCGGTCTCACGCCGCACAGTCAGACGCTGTTTGCTGCTGCACAGATTTTTGACTCAGTTCATTGGGAGATGAGAGCGTCTGCACGGGTGCCATTAGTCACCATGCATGGGATGGCAATCGCATTTACAAAAGGGGATTTTTTTTTTAACAAACATTATGCCGTGCGGCCTATCACACAGCAACTTTTTACACATGAATCAACTCAATGCAATGTCTCAGAGACCTTTTGTTGCACTAGTTGCGATTTATTAGTTGCAGTTGTTTACCCCGCCACCAATGTGGTAATAACAAAACATTAAAAATATGCAAAAATTATAAACAATTTTTGGTCACACTTTAGATTAGGGTCCAATTCGTACTATTAACTATGACTTTTGCCTCAATAAACTCCTAATTGTTTGCTTTTTGGATAGTTGTTAAGTTTAGGTATTGGGTATTAAGGGATGTAGTCAAATGTAAAATGTGCTTTATAAGGACTAATAAACAACTAATATAGCAATATGCATGCTATAAGCTATAGTTAATAGTGAGAATTGAACCTTAAAGTATTACCTAATTTTTTTTGTTGTTTAGGGAAATACATAATGCTTTGCAAACCTGAACTTGGTTTTGCAATTCATCACAACAGCAACATTCACATTGAGTTTGTTGTTTCCTTAGTTTTGTTATGCTTTAAGCTAATTATAGCTTATAGCCTAAATTATAAATTATAAATCTTCTGCATTTCAGGCCATAAACAAAAGACGCCCATCTTCCACTTCAACAGAATGTGCTTGTCTACTTTAGTATAATTTATAAGCTATTACATAGCTTAGTTTTCACTTAAATTGATGAAGATTTATACTGTAAAAAAAATGATATGATCAATAAGTTATAACAACACATTTTTGCATTGCTTTAACTCATCAAAATAAGTAAAGCACTTATTTTGATGTTATACAAGAATCAACTAATTTTATTAACATCAGTTTAATGTAATTCTAAGTTGAAATGACTAAAACATCCAAATTGATTGTACTTAAAAATTATTTTATTTTGATATAATTTCAAGAGCTCCTGTGGATGTGCGTCGTGTAACCCCGTGACTACAGGCTTGTGTTTTTATTTGATGCTTGGGAAAAGAGCACCACTTGGGTGGTTGGAGCCCTGGCAGAATCCCAAAGTCTAAGTAACCTTTAATCCTTAATCCTCAACCCAAACCTGACCCTTACTCGCGTCTAGTTGTCGGACGTCTGTCTCAAACATCTAACCCAAAACATTATAGGATTTTTGTGTTGAATAAAATGGTACAGATTTTACGTTATTACTGATTAGTCGTGTCACTATTAAATCACATTTACATTATTAAATATGATACTTAATATAAAATGCATATTTTAATGCGTTTTAGCCTACATGAAACAACTAGGTAAATTGTAACTGTCGCGGAACAATTGAGAACAAAGGCCGCCTCGAAGTCTCCGATTAACTTCTGCCCTTAAGGCTACACAAGCATCATTACATTTATTATATAAATCTTCGATAACATATAGGTCAGATAAATGCGAATGATTATCTGTTTTCAATTGTGCTGAACTTTCGACTCTTATGTTGAAGTGTTTAGCTTCCTTTATCATTTTAAAGATACATAATATCAGTGTTCGTCATAAATGACAGATTTTAAATGGCAAATCGTTTAAAAAACCAGGCGATCTTTAAACGCAGCTTTGGCGCAGTTGTATAGTGTTTGCTTCAATAAAATAATAATTACCTGGAGAAAGAACATTAACAACAACAGTATAATAATCATAAACTATGCACATGCACGTATATATAATAATATATTAGGCTAGCTATTAAACAAATTACAGCTGAATTCCTCGCATAGAGTTCAAGTCCAAAGTCAGTTTGTTGCTGAACTTTGATCATCTTTTATTACAGGCAAGATTGTTTGGTCTTCACAACTTCATGTAAAACAGCTTTCACATTTCTTTCTGATAGTCTCTGTATAAGAGCCACTATGATGAGGTGAGTTTTGATGAGCTTCAGTGTTACATATAGATATTTTTGCTGTTGGTTTCTATCTTTTTTTATTATTTTTGAGTGGCGCTTGAACATTCATGTTTTGTTTCTCCCACATTAAAGGTTTTCTGTTCTAATCTGCCTGTCAGTGCTGCTGTTCAGCACTTCAGCCAAGCCATACAGGCCCAGGGTATGTTTAACTTCTAATATGGACACTCTTAATTTACAGCAAAAATATTTTGACTGTCTGACGTTACAAAAGAAAAAAATAAACAATGGCTATAGTTGCTTTTAATTACAACTGTTTTTACAAGGTCTGCCCTGACCCTTCTTGCCATTTTGAGCAAGAAGAAAGGGATGTAAAGAATTTAACATTAATTTGAACGTCTTTTCTTGTATAACAAACTGTGATTACTGACATTGCTATAGGCAGTACTCTACTTTTTATTGGGATATTTTAAATATATTTCATATTTTAAACAACCCATTTGCTAATATTTGGCTTGTTGCTTTTACAGGAAAAAGTGTTTGGCAAAGCAGTTCAGGACACTATAGTGTAAGTACTTGTCTTACCTTCTGCACACACTGTGAAGGATCTAAGTAGGTATACATATAAGGTATATTTATATTCACTTTAACCAAATACGCAAATGATTAAAATAAAATATTCCTTTTCCATGGTAGTTTTGATCATCGCAATGGGAAGATGATCCAGGGAATGGAGGAGGTGGAGCCACCACAGGACATGGATATAACAAATTCTGACATCGATCCTAACATGTTGATTTGGAAAGCAGTAAAAGAAGAAATTCAGCCGAAATACAACAGACCTGAAGAGGATAAAGATGCTCTCTACCACTCCTTTGACATAAAACATCCAGCTGACCCAAAACAGCATGAAAACTACTTTCAGCCACTGAGACACGATCAGGTACAGATGTATGACAAACCAGAAGAAGATAGGGACGATCTATACCATGGAATGTTTGATGTAGCTGTCGAGCCAACGAAAGGAGAGAAGGCTGTAATTGGAGGTAATGCCAGGCCCATCTACTCAAGCCCTGAAGAGGACAAAGATGACATGTACCACGCAGATCTCAAAGGACATCAGTCTGACCAGCAGGCTCTAGCGATGAATATATTCCCCAATCGCCCCATAAGAGTGCACACAGAGCCAGAGGTAGACCTGGATGAGATTTATCATAAGCAATGATAAAATACGTCATGTCATATCTATGGGAGTGCAGTACTGGATGTTAATTCATTATGTGTGGTTTTAATGAAATGATCTCTATTTTTTAAATCATTTAAAAAAAAATGTTTGTTTTTTAAATATAGTACTAAACATAGAAAAAGAATGTCTGTTCAGCATGTTTCACACTCAGCAATACCAGGAAGACTGTGAGCATAAGCCATATTTACCCACTTACTGTTTTTTTTATGAATCGTTTTTAATTAAATGAGATACATTTTTATACAATCATAACAAAATAATTGAAAAAATATATATATTTAAAAAAGAAAGTATCTATTAAGGCAAAGTATTATAAGAAAAGCAAAGTATTACATTTCCATAGAGGACATTCACAGAGCTCGATTCAGCTGCTGTTAATACACAGAACAACGGGCAACAAAGTGAAATGCTGCCAGGTGGGGATTGAGCTACACCTGTCGCACAAAAGAAGTAAATCATAAAATAGATCAATTAAATAAATAACACATTCAATATTTAAAGGCTGAACAGAGCTGACTTTAAGTTCACAAAACTTAACTTGATTTTTTTCAATAAAAGAAAGGTGGATACAGTTAAGTATTTTCAAACGGTTTTACTATATGAATTGTATGATTTTTCTCATTTATTTTAGAAATGGTCTTATTACTACTGCATCACATTATTACAGAAACTATGAACAGCAAAAATGTCAATCTAAAGTGAAGGCACTAAATGAATAACATACATGCATTTTTATATAAGAAGTAATAACATATACAATATTTTTATATCAATTATATGAAGATATATTTTGTACATTGTCTATAGGACTTTTGGTCTAATCACTTTGGTAATGAAAAACTACCGAACTCTTTCAGCATTGTTCATCAGGTGGAATGACACCTTTCTTGATAATAAGATTTCCATACAGTGCTGTCTCCCTGTTAGAGAGATTTAAGAATCATCGATTATTTTTCTTAAATAAAAAATAGCTAAACAGATCATCATAGATCATAAATAAAAATGCTCACCCAGTTGCCACTACAGCAAATGCCTTTTTAGCACGCTCATAGAATGCAAACCGCTCAACAAACTTGAAGTTACCCTGAAAAAAAACCCACATTTTTTGTTAAGGTGATAATTAGTGTATATATACACACACATTTGATATCCTGGTCAAATTAATTGCATTCTTCCCTTTGTAAACCTAGCTTGGTCAAATATAATTTCAATAGTGATGAATGTGTCCTCATCATATTAGTTATGATCTTTTATGTATGTAATAGCTTACATCTGATCCTGCTTGTTTCAGGAGGTCAGAGTACTGGTCCCATACCGGCACTTTCAGTCCCTTTAATTTGTCACTCTGCACAAGGTCCATGACAGCTGCCTAATAAATCAGACCATATTCAGTTACAGACACTGAATATGAAAAGTTACATATATGAAAAACCGAGTTTAACCTTGTGGTTTAGCCATTTAAAAAATAAAAGATGCCAAAGAACGTTATCACCCACTGAATCATCATAGGTATCAAGAGGAAAAAGCTTCAGTATTGCCTTCAGAAGTTCTGGTATACCTACACCTTAAAGAATAAAACAGATCATACTTGCACAGGAGAGACAGTGACAAACATTTGACATTTTTGGCTGTACAAATAATGCATATTAAGAAATTCTGGGGCCAACAGATATCGAAAAATACAATGGTTACCAAAATTTACAAAATAATTATTATTGGTTCTGTAAAACCATAATAAATTAACATGAGATCTCTTTCAAACAGTATAAGAAAGGAGTTTTTTAATGAAGGTTGTATAGGAAATACCAATACATAAAGGTTTAGACATACCATCCGCTCTTATCTCTACTGGACCACATTTACAAATAGATGCGGCTGGAAAATTTGCGTCTGCAAGAACTAAAAAAAAAAAAAAAAAAAAAAAAGAGGCTACATGACAATTCATACATGACGTTCATTTCTTATTACAGTAGTGTAGCGATGATGACGTCTCGTCTGCGCTCATAAGACAAACCAGATCCACTCAAATTTGTAGACGGACAGAAAATCGACGCTTTACAACATCAGCGGGAGTCGAAAGAGTAACGTTATGTGCTTTGGCTTAGAGATAATAAAAATGTGACATTTTTATGAGAGACAGCCTACAAAGTTTTTGAGTGACATTTTGATGATCGAAATGAAAGCGAATGTTGTGTGTTAAGGAGCGCAGCCAAAGCAATAACACTTCCCGTTTCAATGCTCCAACTACGATATATCCGTGGCGTTTTTAAATCACATCTAACTTCAAATAAACCAATGACATGATACAATGGTGGTACAAACAGGTATATCGTCTAACATTCACCCAGAAATTAGCCTTCAAGTGTGCTGCAAGAACTTTGGTCTGAGGTTCATAAACACAGACGCTGCATAGCTGTATGCGAGCCGATCTCATTAACGACTTACCCAGTTCATCTCCATGACCCATTTGCGCCAAAACATACAATAATTCAGGCGTAAGTATTGATGGGATTCCTTTTAGTATAACCATTTCAAAGCAGTGACAGAACCAGAACCACGAGCAAGTTTGTGGGCAGTCATGTGACCCTTTGAAGTATTTCAATTGGTTGCACGAAGAGCTACGTTTCTAACGCAACCTGCGTTTCGAATACGCAATTTACGTTTCTTTGCAAACCAGTGAGTCAGTGACGGTAGTCTTTTAATTTTATTTCATCTGCTCAAGTAAAACTGGTAATGCATAGTCTTATTCTGTTTCAGAATGAGAAAGCATATTAATTTTCACCATTGTTTTTGCATACATTTGTTCATTCATGCATACTCTAACAAATGTTAGAGTCATGCTTCCTTACATTTTCAGACTGGGTGCATAGGCCTATATCAAAATAAAAATTGCATTAAGTTGTCAGACTCGTTAAATTTAAGAGGAGGTAAGATCCACTCTATCGGTCGGTATACAAACCGTTTTTTTATTAATTTACATTTCAAAAATATATTAAATCGTCAATGAATAATTAGCACACTGCTAAAATTAACAAATAACATCAATGGCATAGGCGCTCACTAATATTTAGGCTAATCTCTCTATAAATCTTAATATAGTAGGCTAGGCTATAGGCCTAATCGCTTATATGCACAGGTGATTTCGAATTCATTATTTTATGTCTCTGACGACAAAGCCTTATTGTAAAGAAGCTTGATGTGAAACTTCAGTTTGAGTAAAATGTTGGGGAAAAAATCCGTGTAGCCTACTCAATTTCATCATTTGCAGTGTGACTGAACTCACAACACTCGATGATTTTCAATGATCTCCGCGCAAAGACTGCTACATTCTGCGCGTGAAATTCTCTATTATTGACATGTTCCATGCAATATTAAATTGAATTCCTACACAATCCCATGCTAAATAAGTATAGGCCCTATGTCTAATCAAATTTTATTGTCGGTAAATTGAAATTTGATTATACACAAGGCTGGAGATAATTTTTTTCATAGTTGGGACATTTATTTGTAAGAAGGGAAAAAAACATTAGCAAGCTAATTGAGCTTAAACTCGCCGTTTAAATGAAGAACGACACCTAGACGTGCAGCTGCTACTGATGAAGAGGAGCTGCCGGTGATGTGGTTGTAATTCAGGGAAATTTTCTCCAAAAGAGCTGTGTGGAGGCTTTGCAGCTGCGAAATGTAGAGTGAAAGTGGAAAGATGGAAGAAAAGACATTCGGAGGAGCCAAGACTGTCTGATCAGTTCAAAGCTCCTTTCTTTTACCGAGGAACCATGCTGCTCCCTCTTTGGTTCTGCTTTTTTAAATGAGTTTATCACGCTATGAGGAGCTGCCTTTGCCAAAATGTAACGTTTTGCCTCTTTTGTCTGCGCTGAGCGCCTCAATTCGGTCTACATTTATTATTTTGACCTTTCGTTAGCAGGGGATAGACTTCAAAGTGGAACCTCTCTTTTGCTGTCTTTAAGGAGACCTTTGTGCTGTTGCGGTATGTGGAGAGAAAGTTTTTTCTCCTCTTTTAAAAGTTTTGTTCCAGGGGCTGAGAAGAAAGCTGGACTCCGAGGGAATATTGAATGAAAATTAAAATCAATTAGGCTATGGACTTTTGAGAGTGTTTGGAACGACGCCGTGCGAAAAAAAGCCAAGATTTTTAAGCGAGAAAATGCACTCAGTTGATGTGCAATTGAGATGAATGGACTCGTCCTATAATTACATTTGCTGTGGTCCTTCTGGACGCTGTATTTCACATAAAATGGTCAGTGTTTAATTCGTAAAAACGGGTTGTAAATGTATAGTGCTCTTTAACCTGGCAAGGGATTATGAAGCGACATTAGAAACTTTACAGTTATTCATCAATAATTGATAAGTTTGAGTTTGGTTTAGAGTAATGACATTTCATAAATTGCCTTTAGGTTTAGTAAAACGAAAACAAAAAGCAAAGTATGAAGGTAATCTTCATAAACAGGAAAAAAAACGCATATTAGTAAGATGAAAAATCCTATTTATTTACAAATCATCGTCCTAAAAAAATCTAATTTCAACACACGGGACATAGTGATAGGCCTAGATGACCTGGTTACTGACAAAAAGTTTAGGAAAAAAGTTTAGTTTTTGCTAAGATGTGGTAATTCCTGTTGTTAGTCAATAAACAAACTTAATGCAGCAGGAAACCTTATAGGCTATTTATAAAACTATAATTCGCGTCCCACAAAACACTATTTTGCACTCCATCACATTAGAGCCATTAATAATACAACATTGTTATAAAATAATTCTGGATTTATAGCAAATATATAATTTAAAGAATACCGCCACAAAATACCACTAGATCGACTTTATTATCCCACTGGATACGCTGCAAGAGTGACTGAAAATACATCCACAGCACCACCTAGAGTGCACAAAGTGTAATTGCGTGATCTCATTTCCCAATGAATAAGCCAAAGCATGGCCAGATCAGCATTCAGTGTCAAATCAGAGGATTTTTGCAAAATCTTGAATAGAGTTGTACAGTAATTACAAACAGTTTAAGAAGGCAATGGCATTTTTCCCTTTCAAAACTGCTCAAATGTATATTACAATGCATTATTTAGTGTTTCATTTCATAGATCCCTCCATTTATAGTGTAGAAGCAAAGATTTAAAAGTGATAATACCAGACCATGATTATTAGCCAGATATTGATTAGAAAAGGTAACGTAGAAGCTTAACTCAGTGAACTACAGGTATGCACGTCTGACAGCACAATGATATAAATCTTGATGTTTTTTAATAAACACTTGATAAGAAAATTAAGGCAAAGTAGAGCATTTTAATATCAGCATTTTATCACAATCTAAATATCACCATGTTTCTCCACTGGAATTTTAATTGTCCTGGAAAGCAGCCTTTCTCTTCTCGACAAAGGCAGTCATGCCCTCTTTTCTGTCCTCCTGAAAATGAGAAATTATTGCAAGTTCAAGAAAGAAGAAATCTTTTCGCTCAAAAAAAAGAAACAAATAAATGGAAGAAAAGTGACGCACCGTTGCAAAGGTTGCATGGAACAATCTTTTCTCAAGTCGACTGCCCTCAGCTAAAGTCAGTTCAAACGCTGTAAGTAAAGTTCAAATAAAACTATCAGTTTCTAAACGGCTGCACAGGACTATTCAGTTTTCATGTGATGTCACCGCCAGACATTTTTACCAGGTTTGTAGTAAGTACTAATGTAGTAAGACACTGTGATATTATTAAAAGACCAAATTCAATATACACCTTATTGATGATGCATAGTTTGCACAGGCTGAACACCGAATATAAATGCAACACAAGGTTTCTCATTAAGTGTTTTTTCAATCGAAAACCATTATAAAGAAAATGCGCTGTCTGAGCTCATCTGCTCGACTGTATATAGTATGCATCATCAAAAAGGTGTAAACTGAATTTGATCTTTTACCACTGTTGTAGTACATTAATGCACTTTAAAGGTGGGTTGTACCAATAAGGCTTAAGCATCTCCTTAGCCTGGTGTCGGTTAGTGCTCAGCCATTGGTGCTTGATCAGCCTTTTAATTCTAGTGATTGAAGTACTGCAGCAGTTGCTGTATATGGATCACAAGTGCCCAAAACTTGCATCTTGATCACATATTTTTGTTTTTGAGATGGAAAATGGACAGGCTTGTGCAGCAGTTCTAGCCCACCAGGGCTCCATGACAGGCATGTGACTGAAAACTATGAATATACATTTTTTAAAACCCAATTTGAATGCATGAACAATGTTGAAAGTCAGTGAGCCTCAATTATGAAACACGAGCAGAATAAATTTCAACAAAAAAAAAGCTTCTATCCCATTAATGAAACCCTTACCTGCATTAACAGCTTCCTTTGCCATGGCAGAGACAAGTTTGGAATTGCCAGCTATTTTCTCTCCACATTTGATCGCTTCTGAAACCAGCTGATCCACAGGAAATACTTTACTTACCAGACCTATAGAGACGAATACATTAGTCCACATATTGAATTGAGAGAAGAAAGAAGCTGTAGAGCAACAGTAAGTTTGAAAGACAAACCAGAGAGTTTTGCTTCCTGAGCTGATATTCGGTCTCCTGTGAGAACCATCTCCATTGCAAGGGATTTTCCCACTGCTCTTGTAAGCCTCTGAGTGCCACCAGCACCTGGAGCCAAAGAAATCAGTGATCACAGCTACCTCGTAGCTAAATATTGCCATTCATAATTATTCTGCAACAATCAATCAATCCACATAATCAAAAAGTGGGATGTATTATTGTACCAGGAATGGTCCCGAGCAGGATTTCTGGCTGTCCAAACTGTGCCTTCTCCCCAGCATAGATTATGTCACACATCATGGCAAACTCACATCCTCCACCAAGCTGGACAGGACAAAAACTTTATGTTTATGCTTGATTGGGAATTCAGATTTAAACAGGCTTTTTAGTGATTAATTTAAAACATTTACCTACCGCAAACCCATTGACAGCAGCAATAACAGGCTTTTTGACTGTTGATACCCTGTTCCAATGTGCCAAGAAGTTTCCACCATAGCACTCTTGAAAGGTTCGATTCTGCATTTCTTTAATATCTGCTCCAGCTATCAAAGTAAAGGTGTCAATACAACATGCAATGAGTCTAAAGGAATTCAATATAACAGACAACTAATTTTATTGACAGTTTCACACCTGCAAAGGCTTTTTCACTCCCCGTGACAACAATTGCTCCCACTTCACGGTCACCCTCGAAGGCATCAAGGGCTTTGCCCACCTCCATCATAAGCCCATCACAAAGAGCATTCAAGGCCTTTGGTCTATTAAGTTGGATGAAACCGACATTCTTCTTTTCACCCTTTTTGTCAACCAGTATGTACTGATACTGGCCACCTGCAAAAGAGATGAGGGCAGGGGTCAAATTAGCTCACAATGGCTCAACGCAATTTTTGAATGATTAAAACAGAATTGATTTGTCAAATACATCACCTCTTTATTATATTTATATTCCTATTCTTTTTTTTTTTTTTGGAAACAATGGCCATAAAAGCTTTTGTTTATTAATTAAATTAAAGGTATATATATATAGATTTATACACAGTTTATTCTTACATGTTTATATATATATATATATATATATATATATATATATATATATATATATATATATATATTTTTTTTATTATTATTTTTTTTTTTATTAAGTTTTCTGCAGACATATAAAGGGTGTTACAAACAACAGATGTTAAAATGAAACAAGGTGTCTGAAAGAGAGAGAAAAGAAAGAAATCAACAGAACAGTTCCGCACATCAATATAGACCCTCTATATTCCTATTCTTATTTTAAAATGTTTCAATTGTAAACAAGCAAACAGGAGGGTAGCAGCAGCTTCCATAAAGGTTGGTGTTTCCATTATAAAGTTGCAGGTAACGTACAAAAACACTGTCAGCACAGTCACAGAACCAGAGCAGTAAAATGACGCAAGTTTCCAAACAAAGCAAAACTCGACACTGACATTGAAAAGGAAGTCATTACTTTTAAGTAGACATGGTTCATGTTACCTGAACTGCATTGCCTGGTTGCTGCTAACGCAAAGGGAAGCAGTTTACTGTTTTTGAGAAGTAACCCTGTGGATCTGCAGAGCGCCATGGCTTTTGCGAGGTCAATGGTAACGCTGCGACGATGCTGAAGCCGCGGCACGTTGATTGGCTTTCAAGTGTGACGTCATGTCGTAATCAGGATGCCAGATATTCTGTTATGAAATCCCTCTTCCGTTGTGACAGACGAGTGATTTTTTTACGTCTTTTATCTGATTTTATAGAAACCACCTCAAAAGGGAATTCATAATATTTTCTTAGTGTTAAAACGACACTTATTCCACACAAATATGTACAAACAAGTGTTGTGTTTTCCGTTTGCTCCCTGTTCGATTAGTTTTAAAACAAGGATTAGATGGAAAATAATGGCAACAACGTATGGCACGTTTTTGCGAGTATAGCTCCCTCTATTGGTCACTTTTGTGAATGAACTGAACATTGTGCAAAAAGCACTGTCGTTTGTATTGCCCGTTGAGGATGTATCATATCATAAGGAATGATCTGATTCTGAGGGTAATGTTAATTATGGTCCCAAAAAAACGTTATACTTATTGCAGTCAAGAATTTGTATTAATGATTAATTCTTGATATATTTCTTTCTCCCATAGAAGAAACCGGCCATCAGAGGGCGCTTTATTCTTGCAATATACAGCATTTACAGAGTTTGATGCTGTGCATGGTCTTCAGTTTTGTTTGAACGGGAAAACTGCCAAGCAGTTAGGACACATTAAATGACTTCAAAGTCTGTAAGGATTGATTTATTGTTCTGTAAATCAGTTAAAAAAGCAGTTGTAAGGGGTGTACAGTCAAAGACCCAGAACCAGATATGAAGAATGAAGACCCGGAGTCAGAATTATAAAAAAATTAAAGAAAAGTTTTACTGAAGATAGTTTGCATTTTCATCAGCAGAAGTCCGCTTCAAGACTCACACAGGAGTTCGTAGGCCGCCCCCCCTTACAGTTACAAAGATCACAGCAGTTATACCATTTCCAAGGTCTAAGCTACGTCATTGCTTACAGGTTGAATGATTCTCATTGGCTAAGAAACATTAAGAGCCTAAACAATTTAACACATGTGAGGAGATAGGGGTGCCTATCGCCATTAGTAAGATAGTTGTCGTCCACTCATTGGATTTAGGTCTGTGGTGGCCTCGCAGGTTAGAGAAGGGCGCCGGGGTGTCTGGTCCGACCGTCCAGAACCTACATAGAATGTCATACGCACACACACACAAATAACAGACACTAGCAAATAACAGCTCCCATCAAGCTGAAGAGAGTCTGAGCTCCTTATTATCAGTTAAGTATACCAAAACATACTGCTAAAACATTCACTCGTTTGGGAGAAAAACAGATCACTGGTATTTACTCCCAAGGAAGGAAATATACTGGAAAGAATACATTTTAATACAACAATTAAAGTTTGATAGTAACGCTCAATATAGCTTGACCATATGTCCAACGAAGGATCATATGTGTCCACGCTGCCTTTAGGACCCTCTAACCTTTCTACTGATCCCAGAGAAAGAGACAAACGGCCTTGTGGGTTACGTGGCCTTCGTGTCCTGCGTGTACTACGTGCAATCTCAAAGTAAGATTGGGATGCACCTAAAAGAAACTGGTTACTTGCATCCATGCATTTAAGAAAATATAATTTCACAGGCACAAGAATATAAAAATTATTATGTGATAATGAATATATTTGATTATTGATTTTTATAAAGGAAGTATATAACCATTCAAAATGATATATGATTATATATGTATTTGAAGAGGCAAGGGATTTTGACCAACCCTTCACAGTGAAACTCATGAACGTTACAAAAGTCATGAAATAACTAAATCTTGCCTGTAAAACCAAAACACAATAATGCAATCACGTATCAACAGTTTATCCAGATAGATGTCAAAATAGTATTAATCATTTTGGTATACTTTTAGGTATTTGTAATGCACATTTTTATCCACACATGTTTTTTTCAGTCAATTGTTACTCTTTAGGTGTAACATATATCAGCATATTTACAGGGTATTCTAGGGGGCAAATATGTAGTACCTTGGCAAATTCTAAGTTTCATTGTTTGTTTTATTTGATTTATTTCAATTACAACACTTTCTTTAACCACACATGAAAAAAGTTTTTTTTTTTAATATTACAAAAAAGAAAAGAAAAAACATTTACATTTACCTTGAAAAGTGCAACTCAAAATTTAAGTCTGTTGGTGTAAGTCATTAGTAAGAATTACATTTTAGATTCCAAACACCAACAGTGTATTTCAATAGGCACATTTCTGATAAATACCAAGATTTTAAAGCACACTAAACCAACTCTGCAGGTCTTGATTTTAACTCATGAAAATGACTGTACAACTACATCCAACATCACAAACTAGCTCTAAATAATGGGCCACTTTAGAAACAATCATACACCTCTGAAATAGTCTTCAAATAAAAGAACTGGCATATTAGGGTCTAAAAGCAAAGCTCTGAATATCCCAAAGAGGTAAAAAAAAAAAAAAAAAAAAAAACACGTACCATGCTACCTAGAATTGGTAACCAGTAAACACTCAAACTAAATATCACATACACAATCAAACACTCTCTTTAGTGTCTAGACATTATTGCAGTAGCAAAAAAAAAAAAAAAACATAAAAAAATGAAGCATATAGAGGCCCTGTTTAGTATATGTACATCCAAAATTTGAAGGCTTCATTAGAATAGTTTACAACCGACATTCATTTTGAACCCCTTATAAATGTGAACCAGTTTTAAGAATTGTTCATTTATTTTGAGATACAAGACAAGAAACATCAATGAAAATGGAAGCGTTAGAACTGGCATCTGTAATAGGGAATATTAGAAGGATCATAGGGAGTCTGATGAAATCATACTGATAAATGTACGCCTTGAATTGAATTGAAATGTACGCCTTGTAAGTCACTTTGGATAACAGTGTCTGCCAAATACATTAACAAACTCTATTACTATACTAAGGTTTCTTCACAGCAGTCAACACTTTTGACATTCTCTCCTTATATGCCCTTTCTCACCTGTTATTTTTGTAAATACAGATTCTCCCTCCCCATTTTTCAATTATCCAGGTGTAATTTCACTGTTCAGAGACCAAACGATGCTCTAAATGGTCAACATTAAAACAGCACCAGACAAAATGTAGCAACTCACAGATTTAGCAGTTAAATAGCAATACTGTTAAGTGTATCGTATTGGTCCTGATGACCAGGTTGCTAGATGTGTCATATCAAAGTGTGTTTGACACAACATGTCAGATGGGCGTGTGGTCAAGAACCACATTGCTTGTGTTGCAAAACCGATTCTCATTAAATAAACTCTGTATGAGTTTGTAACACATGAATGGTGGCAGAGAAAATCGGCCAAGATTTTCAGAGTGTGAAAATGGCCTAGTTCACATTAAATGTACAATAGGTTATTAAGCTGGAGTTTTCTATCAGGAGTACCTACTCAACACATAAAGGAATAGAACAGTTCCCTATTGCAGTCGATAAATATTCCAACCCAAACACTGATGTGAGCAGATAGTTTCTGGCTGGTGTTAAGTACTCACTGGCAAATAATAGCATTATTCCATCACATGAAATGCAGTCAAGTAGATCGGCCAGTAAAGTCGACAAAAAAAGCAGCCCTTCAACTTCATTCATCACTGCCTTGGTTTCCATGTGTTCCAGGACACAAAGAGTAAGTATAATATTATAAAATATTACAATACTGACCTGAATAGATGCTGAGTGATGAGAAGCATAGCCAACTTCTTCACTATAGAACAGGGCAAATTTATCAACACAGCGGTTGACATGACCGTAGTACTGCACACACACTACCATTCAAAAATTTGGGGTCAGTACGGTTTTGTTTTTGTTTAAGAAATTAATTCTTTAATTTAGCAATGATGCATTAAATTGATCAAAAGTGACAGTTAAGACTAACATTTGTTACAAAAGATGTATATTTCAAATAAAAAAATATTAAGTAGCACAATTGTTTTCAACATTGATAATAATAAGAAATGTTTTTTGAGCACCAAATCAGCATATTAGAATGATTTCTGAAGGATCATGTGACACTGAAGACTGGAGTAATGATTGCTGAAAATTCAGCGTTGCAATAACAGGAAGAAATTACATATATATATGATCACATAAACAGCCTTGGTAATCATAAGAGACCTCTTACAAAATATTACTGACCCCTAACTTTTGAATGGTAGTTTATGCATGTCATGCAAATGAATGCAAATCAAGAATAATTTCTCAGGTATTGTAATGTAATGTAATTAGTAGCAATAATAATCACTGATATCACACTAATTCAGTCCTACATGTGGAGCTGGAGCAGAAGAGGAGAGCATTGTAGGTGTGTAGGGTAGAGGGGCAAAAAGCATAGCTGAACACAGGAAAAATGCTGACCCTTTTCTGCGTTTATATTTAGAGAGCCACGAGGATTAGGAATGAGGAGAAGGAGGGAATCTTTTTTTTTCTGTGAGGACACTCACTTTTCATCCACAGCTAAGCTAATGAAGCCTATGAGTGGATGACAGTACATTCAAGAAACAATTCAGCCCTGTTATTTCTGCTCCGTCAACTTTTACGAGGTGCTTTATAATAAAGCGTAAACAGATGAGTGGGCCCTTTTTTTTTTTTTTTTTTTGCAAAAACCACTGCACTGAAGTCATTACTCCCAAAAAACAATCTAAACATCTGGTGTCCAAAGGCGGTAATTTGTCAGTTTGGTTTCCAAAGATTTTTACATTATACAGTCGTTCTTAAATACTGTGCTGGCTTGGAAGAGAATGACTGGATGATCAAATTTCAGTACTTCATTCCCAAAAATAAAAACTTTCTCTTAACCTCAAGTTAAATAAAATGTGACATTCTACAACATTTCAGTGCGACATATTATATTTCCCAAAAATGAATAGTTGCAATGAATAGATACAGGAGGGGAAATGTATGCTATTTAAATATGTCTGCCATTCACCCTGCTACACAATTTGGAGATCAAATAACATCTTCCTTACAAAAAATAAAAATGACTGAGTTTAATTAACGCGAATCAAACCCAGATGGAATGGCAAATGCTGAATCTGAGCTCTTGTATTCTAGCAGCCAAAGTTTGTCAAGACAGCCTATCTAATAATACTAATTTAGAGCATTTTTGACATCAGAATAAAATGTAAAGTAAATCAACTTTATCTGATTTCCTGAGTTTTGGATCATTTTGAAACTACACTGCTAGACTACCAGCATGACTACATTGGCAGTGTCTATTGAGAGCAGCTAAATCCCAGTGGAGTATGGGTACTGCCACAGAGTGCATATCAAAGTGTGCGATCCCTGAAAAATTATCAAAGCTAAACAAATAAGCTACAATGTGAAGCAAGGATACTGGAAAACACACATCTGACAATGCAACCATTCACCAACCTGTTATGATACAATACTCAGAAATCACTCCAATGAGAGGTTAGGGGGCAAAAGTAGTGAAAATGCAGATGTTGTTGATGTCTTTGTGTGAGCTGCGGCCCAGAGGCCTTCACTGCCTGTGGCAAATGCACAGGTGCGCGCGTTCACCTGTGAGAAGTCCTTTCTGGAGCGTGCTCAGGCGTGCTTGCTTAGCCAAGCTTGGTGATCTGAAGACTCCCAACTATCCGGATCATATTAATGGCCAGCAAAGACTTTACTTTGTGATAAAAGTCAAACAGCTGGTGTCCATCCACAAAGATCCTAAAACGCTGGTGCTCACAATGGATCTCAATCTGTACAATTGGGGAAAGGAGAGGGGAGAAAGAGTGAAATAAGATCAAATCAAAAGAATCCTTTGTCAGTTACTGAGACACATTGTGGACAGCGTGTTGAAAGGAAGTGCTTGTCTGACTTTGCATGACTGCTTATCTCAGCTCAACATTTGGAAACAGTGACCCATTTTTTTGGTTCGCCTTCAGCCCCAATTACAAACAATAAGCGCTCATTATCTTCCAGTATCTTTACTCACTTTGGTCGTACAACTCTCTGCCATACAGAATAATTCTGTAATTGCCTATTATAAAGGAATAAACCCACATGAAAAAATAGGCATTCTTTCTAAAAAAAAAAAAGAAAGAAAAAAAAAGACAATATTCTATTGTCTACCACTAAAAAGATTGGAGTCTGTAAGATTTTTTTAATGTTTTTGAATGAACTCTCTTATGCTTGTCAAGACTGCATTTATTTGTAAATACAGTAATATTGTGAAATATTACAATTTAAAATAACTGATTTATATGATTTCTAATTCAATATATTTTAAAATGTTGTTTATTCTTGGATGGCAAAGCTGAATTTTCATCAGCCATTGCTCCAGTCTTCAGTGTCACATGATCCTTCAGAAATCATTCTGATATGCTGATTTGGAGCTCAAGAAACATTTCTTATTATTAATGTTGAAAACAGTTGTGCTGCTTAGTATATTTTGGAAGCCGTGATACGTTTTAACGATATTTTGATGAATATAAAGTTCAAAATAACAGCATATATTTGAAATAAAACTAATTTCCTCGTTTTTTTTTTTTTTTTAAATCTAACCTTTCCTTGAAGTAAAATAATTGAAAGTGGGGGGTAAATCACATTAAAAATATTATAGTCTTGGAGGAGAAAAAGGAGGGGAAAGTAGGTTTTGCCTCTTCATTTCAGAAGTCCACTACACGCCACTGCTTTAGACATCACATTATAGTGAGCTACTGCTTTAGACATCACATTACAGTGCCTGAAGGACGTACAGCATACATACAACATCTGTATCTGTTAAGTCTGACTGACTGGGCAAGGTGGAAGCTGCCATCGGTTTTGGACACAGCCCTGAACTCATGCTTTGTGCAGATTAGAGATCTCAGATTAGAGAACATGTACATGTCAGTGTTTCAGATCGTTACCCTGAAAGGCTGGTCCGGGATGAAGGGAAAGTAAGCTATGGGTGTCTCCTCCTCACTCCATTTCCCAGAGACTCTGGCATTCCTCAGGAACTGCCTTTCAGTGAATCGTGCGCTGAGTTTAAGGGCCACATCAGTGAGCTCTTCATCATCTTTCTTCTCACTGTGGCCACAGTTCAAACTGATGTCAAAGCTGTGAAAAACAAAACAAAACATTAGGCATGTAAACAGCTGGTTTTTGTCACTTCTACGTCTAAAGTTATCTATCTTCTGTTTTCAATATTTATTCATCCTTACTAGTAATATGTTCAGTATGTCAGCATAACCATATGACTTGCCAATAGTGTTAATAAAAATATGACAAGTGTTGCATGATGAAGCATTACAAACTGTGTGCTAATGTGCCAAATATTACAGAGAAATAGTATGAATCCATTTTACATGAATTCACAGTGATTCAGGTCTGCGTTGGCAGCCATTATCACACTGACTGAGCCTTACAGAGCATTCCTAATGGATCAGCAGGCTGTTTACAAAAGCTAAATTCCTGAGCTGAAATGACAGATTAGTATCACTTAACCATTTATATATCAGAACCACAATGTGCAAAGTTAAAAAGCTACATAATTACAATGTAAAGACTACACCATCAAGATAACAAACCACTCAATCGCCCTCATGCCAGGAACATTACTATACTCTCAAAAAAAATGACCAACACATTCAACTACTAGAGCTAAACTGGTAGAGGAAAACCACATACTGGCAATATGTAGACCCTGGACGCAATGCAAATCACTTTGGATAAAAGTGTCAGCCAAATGAATGTGCTACAAAGTGCAACAAAAAGCCTCTGGTACTAGTATTAAACAAATATTAAACAACTAAACTATCATTTAAAAGTTCAGTCAGTAAGATAAATAAAAATAAATGAATAGTTTTATTCAGCAAGGGTGCAGTAAATTAATCAAAAGTGTCAGTAAAAATGTGCTGCTTAAAATTTTTGTGGAAACCGTAATACAACTGTTTAAAACATTGATAATAATAAGAAACGTTTCTTGAGCAGCAAATCAGCATATTAGAATGATTTCTGAAGGATCATGTGACACTGAAGACTGTAATAATACAAAGTAATGATGCTAAAAATCCAGCTTTGGCACCACAGGAATAAATCACATTTTAAAATTAATTAAATTAGACATCAGATATTTTAAATTGTAATAATATTTCACAATATTTCTGTTTTACTGTATTTTTTAATCAAATAAATGCAGCCTTGGTAAGAGTAAAAGACTTCTTTCAATAACATTAAAATCTAAAAAATCTCATCTATCCCACACTTTTGAACAGTACTGTTATAACACAAAATGGTATACATTTATAAATAGTATATCACAAATTTATAATTTCAGCCTTGCCGATACTTAGGTTTTAATATTGTACATGCCTGTTAGTGCGCTTACTGTAAAGATAAACTTCCTTATTATCTGAAACCTTAATTTAATTAAAATATACATGCATATTTGTGTGTGTGTTTAATATCTAGTCATACAAACTGAACATTAGGCTGAATAACACCCTTGTGATTTACCACTGATTATTTGCATCAGCATACTAAAACGTTTCCAAGACACACCCAATGCTCTCACAGTTTTGACATTTGTTTCCTTAACAGCTAATATAAACACCCATCAACCCTAAACAGTGCACACACCCATGCAGTGCATTTCTTGAGCAGATCTACAACCCAAAGCTGTACTCAAAACATAGTGCTGCCAATCTGGACAGCATATGAAAGAAAGAATGAATGAATGAATGAATGAAAGAAAGAAAGAATGAATGAATGAATGAATGAATGAATGAATGAATGAATGAATGAATGAATGAATGAATGAATGAATGAATGAATGAATGAATGAATGAATGAGGCATTTATATAGCGCTTTCATATGTACTACTGTGTACACCCAATGATCTTTAAGAACATATGGGCCCATGATGCCCAAAAAATGCTGTTTAGGTTAATAAATAAAAAAGCTTACAAGGTTTTGAGACAGAGCTTGTGTCTGATGTAACTATTTACTAATTCTAGAATGTGCCGTCTTAAATATGCAATCTTAATATGGAAACAGAGCACTTAAGCGCAATACAAATACATTTGAATTGAATTTGAATTGAAACATACCTGTCTGGCTCTGGATCAATGATGCCCATTATAATGATCTTCTTCCCAGGCCTCATCCCACCTCTGATCCGTCCACTGAAAGGAACTGTCTGGTATATCAGAAATAGGGAAAAACATCAATGTCACATAAACTACAGCATACCAACTGCTTTTAAACATTACTCTACCAGAATACGGGAGATGTCTTCTTTATCAGGGGAGATAAGCCCAGCATCTCCGAATGAATTATTAAGGTGAAGATCATCTTCGGTGTTCTTCAAATGAGAAAGAGATGATTTAGAAGTTTAAAAAGCACTTAAAGATGCAGGATGAAATACAAGCGCGAGCGCGCAACATGCAGGGTTTTTAACAATAAAACGACACGCCTTCACTGCATCTGTACTTCATCTTTTTTAACACAGCATGTGCACCAAATACACCAGAGCTAAAATAATGCTCGAAATATTATTTGTCAATTGCGATCTACCACGTATGCACTGCAATGCATTTACACAAACTCATTTTGTTCAACTGGGTATGAGAGAGGACGGTCATCTCTCATGATGCATACAGATTTCCACAGCGCTTCGTATTAAATACACACTTATTAACTACAATGGCTACGTTATAAGAAACTGAAGCAGTGTAAGAGAGGTATTTGTGACTTACTATCGCGTCCTTTTCCATGCTCGCCACCGCCATCTTGAACAAAATACCATAGGATGCTTATCAAAGGCGGTCCAGTTTAGGAATCTGTCAGTGTCGTGGCAGACTGGACAGGGAGCTGCAAGGTGTCTAAGTTCAAGAAGAAAATTATAAAACAAACACAAATTCTCTTAACGAATTAAGAAGCAACTCTATTGTCTCTACTTGAGAAAGAAATATGCTGACGCGGATTATCATACGGGTGGAGGTTAATCCAGCCTCCATATGAACCTAATCTGCCCAGATCTCATTGGATCATCTGAGCATACCAACAGAATAATTAGAGGCCACATTTTACCACTTTTGTATTTTTTAACATGGCAATTTGCTAGTTTGTTTGGCAATTTGTTACTATATTTGTTATATTGTTTGTAGTAACTGATTGTTTAAATATTGATGTAATAATTGTCGGTAGGTAAACACAATCTGTGCATTGCATTTTTTTTGTTGGTTGTGGTGGTTTTGTTGGTTAATTTTGAGAGAAAGAATTGACATTGTTCCAGTGTGTTTCTGATCTTTGAAATGTGTGCGCCCTCAATGAGCGAGCAGAGGGAGACCCCTAGTGGCACGTGTGACTAATGGCACAGTCTAGTGGCAGTAGTGTTTGTTTTTGGAAACTCCTATATTTATGTAAATGCGTGGGTCATTCTCACGATGCTATAATGCTACTATAGGAATTCTATAAAATAGGTTTAATGGAAATAAATATGGAGATAATATACATCAATAAGTAAAATTACCATTTATGTACAGCGACTGACAGTTTTTGTGATTTAAGTACAATGTGGATATGTTCTTTGTTGTAGCTCTGAATCCTAATATAAAAAGTAATAATCATCATGATATTAATGATGTTTTCATACTGGTTAATACCCAGTTAGTTTTGTCAAGACGGGTATATGACTCAAGTGTCTGAATTGATATGAATCAAGCACCATGATCATATACTTTCCTATGGCTATAGTGCCTAAAGTCCGAACACATGGCTAATTTTAAATGGCCGAATAAAGATGCTTTTCAGTAGCAGTTGCTGCAGTTTCAGGGACTACCAGCAGAGGCTAACAGGATTCTGCTAACTTGGTTAGAAAGAAAGAAAGAAAGAAAGAAAGAAAGAAAGAAAGAAAGAAAGAAAGAAAGAAAGAAAGAAAGAAAGAAAGAAAGAAAGAAAGAAAGAAAGAAAGAAAGAAAGAAACTTAAGAAAGAAAGAAAGAAAGAAACTGCAGTTAACTTAAATAAGGATTCCTCATCCCCCAGCCTGCATTATTTTTGATTATTCTATATCTTTTAATTACATGATTTTTTATTATTATTATTTTACATTTTTTTTTTTTTTTTTTTTTTTTTAGCAGCATGCATCATGTGCCAATATTCTTCAATAACAAAGTGTGGACCTCTGGGTGACATCAAAAGGCTGCATGCACTGTGGTCCGCTCTGTCCAGAAGTGTATTTGAGCATGCAAATTTAATAAGTGTTTATTTAGCAGGGCCAGCCTGTAATTAGGTTAATGCTGCAGTCGCTCTGCACTGCTCTTCCACAGCTCCATTCTCCTCACTTGCTCAGGCGGAAAGCACCACAGACGGGCCTGGCACTGCCCGCCATCGTGCCCTCTTGGGCCTGCTGGACACCTCGCCCACCTGCCTCAAATGATGCCAATGTCCAAACCTCTAACTGACATCAACCGTCACCTGCTAATATGACTAACTGCAGCTGTTGGATATCTGAAAGAGTTTTGGGCATTAAAGTAACAGACATTTCCAATAAACGTAGAATTTAGGATGTCATATTCAAGATCTTTCTTTCAGTCTGCTTCCCCCAAATCAATATACTGCAATCGGTCTCTTTTTCACTGTCTCTCTCCCTCACTGAATATGGCTTATTGTGTGTTTTTGTGAATGTCAAGCTCCCACACACTTCCTCACACCCACTCCCTCCATGCAGCAGCTGTGTGTGGTCTGTGTCTTACTTCCTGTTCTGGCTCCTCACTCAGGGCCTTTCCCCTTAACACACACACACACACACACACACACACACACATATAGACAAGATCACATGAACTTAGTCACATGAATGCCCACTACATCATCACAAACACATTCACGGCAACGCACTGTCACTGTATAAAGCTGTCGACCATATTGATCTGAATACGGTGTCTGATAGTGAATTCCCTGTGTTATGCAATAGGTTTAAAAGATCCAGCAAGTCTGAGAATCTTGGCTCCATCCTTTAGGGCTCAGCGTCCTTCATAATAATTAACTCTCAGTGACCTTTGATACAGATGTAACCCGGCATAAGCTCACTGTTATACAGTGCAAACTTTGATTCTAGTGAAACTTCTTAGCTCCTGTGGGGTCTTTATCCATCATTATTTTAATTCACAGTCCTTGTTTGTGGTTAATGCTTTAAAATTAAAAACATTTCTTAATAATTTAAATGTATTACATTATACATTTATTCAAGTCAAGAATATTATTTAATACAGCTGAGTCATATTTTATTAAATGTACTGAATTTTACACAGAAACAACTGCAAACTTTTTTTTACAGTAACCGGCTGTATTTTGATATTGCATTATATAATAAATTTATAACAAATATTTTACAGGGAAATCAAGGCATTATTGTAACACTATTACTTTATGAAACAAAATAATAAAAAATACCCTGGTTATTTGATGATGGATGGTCCTTGCTTTGTAGAATCCCACAATGGGACAATACTGCCAAATACATATGGGACACGGGACATTTGGCTCTATTAAATGTTGCTATTTTATTGACTTTTTTTTTTGTCTGAAGTATCTATTATGGTGATTATTGTTCATTTTGCAAGGCAATGTAGATGTTGTACGATGTAACAAATTGGTCACACTTTAAATTAAGGTCCAATTCTCACTATTAAATACAAAATTTGCCTCAATAAACTCCTAATTACGTCTTATTAATAGTAGTAATGTAGTTGTTAAGTTTAGGTAGTGGGTAGGATTAAGTGATGTAGAATGTGGTCATGCAGAATAAGGCATTAATATGTGCTTTATAAGTATAAACAGCCAATATGCTAGCATGCTAATCAGCAACTAGGGCACCTGCAAGGCAAATTGGGAGAATACAATTGGTTTAGGCTACTGGATAACTCCAAGTCACTTAAGCATAATCAACTTAAAATCCATCCTTATAATGTGACAGTATTTAACCTCTATGTATTTGTATTAGAATTAGGCCTAACGTTACTTTCTGCAGACAGATGGATGTGTGTATTTACAGAAGGGCTGAATGATGAACTGTTTGTAGCTGTGATCAATTTGTTAAATCTGTAACAGGGACACTGTAAAGTAAGTGTTACCATGTATTTTTCTAGCCTGGGTTTCCCCATACTGCCTTACCGCAGCTCGATTCAATTCACGCTGAAAGGTGAATTCTCAACGAGATTGGGTCTGGCGTTAGCCAGGCTAGTATTCTTCAGAGGAGGGGTGAAGATGCTGCTGTAGTGCACAATTCAAATTCCAGCCAGCGGGGGCAGTTATGGGCTGGCGTGTGTGTGTGTGTGTGTGTGTGTTACATAAACGTGCAACTGCTTGTGTGCTTGCTGAGCTGGGCTTGTGGTTGGCGGAGAGTAGGTGTGGCTTATTTTCCTCCGTGGTCACAGCAGAACAAGATCATTCAGATATTTGCACAAAGCCAACCTGACAGCGAGAAGGGGGAGGAGAGAGAGAGAGAGAGAGAGAGAGAGAGAGAGAGAGAGAGAGAGAGAGAGAGAGAGAGAGAGAGAGAGAGAGAGAGAGAGAGAGAGAGAGAGAGAGAGAGAGAGAGAGAGAGAGAGAGAGAGAGAGAGAGAGAGAGAGCGCAAGGCTTCTGCAGTCTCTCTCATTCTTCTCTCTCTCTCTCTCTCTCGCTACCTCTACAGAAACAAGGAAGACTGTCTACTTCATGCCCTGTGAACTGAGCAAAATCAAATTAGAACTTCAGCTGCATGGGAAATATTTCTATTTCTCATTTGGTTTAAAGGGATAGTTTGCACACAAATAAATATTCAGTCATCATTAACCTCATGTGGTTCCAGGTGAATTTAGGAGATTGTCCAAGCTACTCTGTTTCCAAACAGTGAAAGTGGATGAGGACTAGGGACAGCTGAGGTTAATTAAAGCTCACAGTAAAATAATTTGGATTATTTTGACCCTGACGGCCTTTCGGACAGGTGTCAACTGTCACGAAAAAGAGTTTAAAATCATGGTGCCCATGATTTTTGAAGGGAAAGGACGCATACCAACCACAGCAAATTAGTCAGCTTTATGACACAGGCCCCATAACGCTTACTGGAAACAATACATATGAGAAGGCAAATATTTCACCCGCTATCTGCACGTGAAACATGAAACTTGTTAGAAGCTTGACTATAGAGGGATGTAAAGCGAAAACAAGCCCTGACTGACAGCGCAGGATTAAGATCGTTTCCAGAGCCTCCTGAACAGCGTAACTGAAAGTTACTGAAAGACTTGTTTTAGATAAAGAAAAACAAATAGTAAAGGTGAGATGGTCAGCGTGAGTGATACAGATCACACACCGACTCACCACTCTCATAAAAAGCGACATGATCCACAGGGGGCAAACATTCTCGCTGGCCTGAGATCAGTTCAGCTATGTTTTGAGCTGGCCATCCCCCTACAGTTCACACAGACACTGCCACGTGCTAAAACTGTCCTTGCTACACAGCTGTGTGGCCCCAATACTGGAAATAGATTCCTGCTACCAGGCCATGAGTCATAGGTGCAAAATGGAGGCAACTGTTGATGCGGAGAAATGTCCGCCGTTTCATACAAAGCAGCTGAGTGACTCAGAAATTATATAGGCCTACCTTAACCTGTTCTGTTGTCTATGCACTCACTACAATCTTTAAACACAGTAACATGCTTGATTCTTAAGGAAAATGAAGAAAACAAACACAGAATGTCATTTTTATCCGTTTATTGTATGATATAAAACTAGAAAAGTAAGACTGTTTCAAATTCATAGACACATGTCCATATTTCATATATATTCTACAGTCCACACCTTGATGCAAATACAGTGATCATCAGTTGATGGGTTATTTTTCTCAAAATGAATGTGTCTGTAATATTGCATAGAAAAAGGCACAGCTCAAAGGCCTGAAGATACGGCCTTTCTTAATGAGCAGAAAAAGGGTTTAGACCCTCCACCACATTTTGTCTCTCTATTTCTCTCTCTCACTCACACACACACACACACACACACACACACACACACACACACGAATAATCCCAGTGGTCACTATCCTGAAACCACTTTAAACTTCCCCGAATGTATGGCCTGAACCATGGGACAGTGAGATACCGTTAAAAAACAACAACCAATACCATCAGAAATCATGCTGCCTTTCTTCTTTACATTTGGCATTGAGGGTTATCAAAAAGATTTTCCCAGATATAGGCTTTGGAAGATTGAAATTCGGAAGTTTGTAGAGAATAAAGTATTGCTTCACAAACCTTTCCCTTGCACGCAATCTGAAATACATAAAACATTAAATAGAAATACTTATAATTAAATAGCGACAGGGAGTGTTTGACTAGATGACTAGCACAAACACCACACCAAATTATAATACAAGAAACTAAACAAAAATAATGCATTATTAAAACAAGATGAAAAAAAATGGCTTCCACCCCAATTAATAAGCAGTGATACATTCCCATAAGCACAATACATTCCTATCTCATATTCTGTACAAATTACAATCTGGATGTTAGCATAAAATAAAAAATAAATATATTTACACAGGAAACAAAAAAATAAATAACTTAAAACAAACACTCCAAATCTAAAAATCCTATAAGAAATTGTAATCAGTTTTGATTCCATAGTTTTGTCCGCTCTGCTCTCATTCACTCATGCTTTTTAATTCTCAGACAATCTCTCTCTTGAACTCTGGGTAACAAATCCAAATCGTCACCTCTAGCTTAGGTCTCTGTGACAGGAAGTTCAAATCTCAGATTAATAATGGTCACACTTATTTGTTGAATAATATACTTATTAAAAATACACATTTCACAAGTTTTCTTCCCTCACTGACATAACACTTTCCAGGAAGGCATATAATGCACAGTTTTTGTCGGTATGTAAATCTATCATTATTAATGATAGCTTGTTTAGTGCGACAAACAGCTATGTGAAACTTATACAGGCGATATGATAAATGGTCCCTTTCCTTTTATGTCAGGTGCACATAAAATAATCCTTCCAACCAATCTGATCGACTTCAGCGATTAATAGCAAGTGTTTTTAGCACATATACTGTGCTGTCTATTGCACATACATGCATAATACTCTCCCGCCAATCTTGCGCATACTTAAACTCCCCCAAATAAACTCCACTTAAATGTAAGGTGACCATTCCTACTGGCCAAACGACTCTAAAACCCAGCAGGGCAACAGAGAGAGAGAGAGAGTCTGACTGGAACATGAACAGATACCATTAATAAAACTCAAACAAACAATGGTATAAATAAGATAAAATAAGACCAAACCATACACAAATCATCTGACATCTGTATAATTATGAGCTATAATCCTGCATGCATTAGTATGTTAACAGAAATGTACCGTTGTACTGGTGAGAGATGCATATGAAGGAAATGTTTGGCAAAAAGATTATGAAGATGGAAATAGTTGAAAATGAACTGAATAGCAACCATAAACTTACATGTGTGGTACAGTTTTTTCCCCATTTTGCACAAAGAGACATGCATTGACCCTCTTGCTGTGCATTAGTGTAGCATTAAAAGTAAAACTGAACCAGCCACTGAGTCTGAGTGATGATATAAAGCCAAACCAAAGGCCAAAATAGGGAAGTTACGGCAATGCCTTGATAAAAAGGAAATGCCTGAGAGAAGTTGACAGTTTGCTTATTACTGATCAGAAGGCATTGATTGCATCAGTTATTTGTAGCATAAAGGGGTTTTAGCGTTGGCTAATCAAAGAAATGTATCTGTAAAACAATACATTGCCAGCTGAGACGTAAACACATGGAATCTGAGCCGTTATGGCAGATCACAAGAAATTTGGTTGGTTGACTGTAAATATCTGACCACTACACACATCCATGAATAAATAATACCCGGTAAAGCATGTTCCATAAATGAGTACATTTCATAAATGCATATGTTTCACTGAAAGAGGTTTAAAGGGGTAGTTCACTTAAAATGAAAATCTTATCATCATTTACTCAACTTCACGTCACTCCAAACGTACACTACTTTATTTATTCTGTGAAACATAAAAAGACATTTTAAAGAAAAGTCAGTGGGGTACAAATCAACATTGGATCCCATCGACGGACAAAAAATATTTTTCAAAATATGTTCTTTTATGTTCCACAGAAGAAAGAAACTACAGGTTTGAAAGGACATGAGGGTGAGTACATGGTGAACTATCCCTTAATGAACATTAAAATGGAAACAGACCCCCCCCCAAAAAAATATGAATAAATGACCACATATTAACAGACTATTTTGAATATTACTAAAAAGCAATAAAACAGCTCTGGATATAAACACATACAAACAAAATAACCAAGTTCTTCTTTTAAATTCTTTGTGCTTTGTGAAAATGAAAGAAAAATATGAAAATAGGGCTGCCGTTGCACATTCTTGCACCTGTATGCTGAGAAGGGGAAAGAAAGATGCTACTTCTCTGATAATCCATCTTGTTCGATTAGACATTATGAGAAAAATGAGACAAGACAAACAAACAGTAATTTACCAAGTGGTCATAAATGAAGGCACTTGGAAGTGTGTTCCATAAAATGTCTTCATGTTCATTTTTGGGACAGGCAAGCACAGTGCATGCACAGTGTTGAGAAGTAGTACTGGGCAACATCACCATTAAAATGGGCAAATTTCCTTTGTCTTTAAAAACAAAACAAACACAAAACTGTAAAAAAAAAAAAAAAAAAAAAACTCCAAACACTCACAAAGTGATTCTTTAGTTTCTTTCTCAGTTTCTATTTAAAAACTCTTCTTTGATTGGTTTTGCATTTTCTTCCCCAGTTCCCTTCCAAACCCGGTCATGATCCTACAAGCACCTCCATAATATGGTCCAGTTCAGTGAGGTCCATTTTGAAAGGTTGGTTTGAGCTGACAGCAGGAGCAGAACCGCTGTAGGGCGAAAGAGTCTTGAGGAGCTCGTCCGCCGTCACCATGGGCGCCAGTTTCGATGGAGCCGCACCTGAAGATGAAGTGCAGGGGTCGAAGTCGTACATGGAGGTGTCAATGTCTGCAAAGAGAATGTCGTCCAGGGCAAGGTCTGTCAGAAAGCCTGAGGACGAGGCAGAAGGTGAGGTGCTCATGTCCAGGCTGTTAGGAGGAAGAGTCTCTGGTGCGTTGGGTGCCGCTGAGCTTTCCTCGGGCAGCGGGACCAGCCCTCCAAGCTTTGGGCTGCAAGGCTTACTGCAGTCTTTGGAGTCCAAGGCCCCTGAGTTTAAGCTGGGGGGACACAGCGGCATTTGGAGGGTCACTGTAAGGGACGAGAGGGAGGTAGCACCGAGCACAGATGTAGCTGTAGGTAAGGACGAAGGACAGAGCTCCTCAATCTCATCCAGGGCAGAAGAAAAACTGTCTCTGGTCACAGGTGAAGGGAGTCTGGGCAGGGTTGGTGGTGGAGGAGGAGGAGGAGGAGGAGGAGGAGGAGGAGGAACAAGCGGAGAGGGCGATGAGGGCGATGTGCAAAGCGTGACACTGTCCTCCTCTAAAAGCGAAGCTGGGGTAAGACAGGCCTCCAGAGGTGCTGGGTTTGACAGCCCTGACGAAGGCGATGTAAGGACTGAAGCGGAAAGTGCTGGGGACTGTGACAGTGGCGGTGCCACCATGGACAACACGCTGAAGGCAGGCTGTGCCTCACGGAAACCCTCGTCCACAGGGTCGTCGGGTGGAGGAGAAGGAGGAAAGAAGAGTGGCCGCAGGTTGCCCTCCTGTTTCAGCTCATCTTGGATGCGCCTCAGCATGTTGTTGATGAGCACGCGCTTTTCCAAGCTGGGCTCGGTGAGCGCCCGGTGGTTGTACAGCTTCATCAGAGACATGTTGAAGATGGTCTGCCTCTGCAGTGTGTAGGAGACCTTTGAGAGCCCGTCGGCCATCGTTCCAGGCCCTGCCGCCAACGCTTTGCCTTCCAGCCCCTCTTCATCCTCATCTAGTTTCCGCTTTGCCCCTTTACCCAACATATATCTGCTTAGAGTAAAGAGAGAGAGAGGGAGAGAGAGAGAGAGAGAGAGTGTGTTAGCCACATAGCCATTATGTTCATGACTCATTCATTGCTGTCTACCTCTCTTACGACTCGACACTGGTTCCATATAAAGCTCTTGATCTACAGAAAAATATCTAATGGCAAAAATATCTACATCTGAAGGGTATAACAGTATAAACACTGCGACACTATCAAAACATTGGTGTTTGTTTGAGAATTCCAACCAGTTTAACATAGCGACACTGGCTCAACCAATGGTGTGAGTTCGGGGGCGAGGCGGTCTTTTTGTCTGACCAATGACAGGAAGTGGGAGTGTTTGGGAAACCTGTTTGATTATTTTTGCTATTCTGTTGGGTGCTGCTAGTTCACAGAAATTTCAAGAAACTGAGATGTTAAAGGTGTAAGTGTATATCTTAAAATACTTTCTCCATTCTAGTTGAATATGTAGAGCAGAGGCGCGGGAAGTAGGGCTGCTGGGGGTGCTGTGCTGTCATATTTACAAGTGGGAAACTCTGAATTCTGGATGATACATTACTAGTTTCCAAGTAGTGATGTTGGAAGGGGCGTGTTGATTTGAAACACTGATCTACTACAATATATAATAGACAATAGATCTTTTTATAGAGATCAGTGAGTGGAAAGCAAGTCAAATCAAAAACTTTCACCATTTGCTTTAAGTAACAAAAACATTGATACCATTTATAAATAAGAGAAAAAAAATCCTCATTATGAATTCAGATGTAGATTTTTGGGTTTACTGTTCACAATATAATTATTTTGTTTTGGTCAGGCTACTTCCCTGTTATGTTTCCTACAATGAATATGTGACATGGCGTAAAAACAAACTCCTGACTTTGAGGTATGAGTTTACCAGGTGCACTTGAAGGGTATAAAAGTATAAACACTGCGACACTATCAAAACATTGGTGTTTGTTTGAGAATTCCAACCAGTTTAACATAGCAACACTGGCTCAACCAATGGTGTGAGTTCGGGGGCGAGGCGGTCTTTTTGTCTGACCAATGGCAGGAAGGGGGAGTGTTTGGGAAACCTGTTTGATTATTTTTGCTATTCTGTTGAGTGCTGCCAGTTCAAAGAAACTGCACTTTTAAATAATAACTGTCCAGAATAACATAAAAACTATTTTTTAATGTAATTTCTTTTTGTGCTTTTCTTTCTTTTTTTGAAAGCATAGTGAGGAAAGGCACAGGAAAGTACAAGCAGAGTAAGGGGGAATAGGACTGGGACATCACTGAACCTGGGTCAACATCTTGATAATTCACAAAAACACCAACTTTTTGTTTAGAGATAATCAAAAAACACTTTCGATAAAGGTAATGTAGTGTTTTTAACTACATTATGTAATTTTTTTAACAATATAGCCAATAGATGAATAACAAATACAACCAGAGCAGGCTACAACAGTTGGTTTGATCCAGTTGATAAAACAGACATGGTAAAAAAAATACAAGAAATTGTTTCGATTAACAGATTCGTGGCTTGAAGCTTGGTTGCTATGACATTGGCTTGCAAGCTGTTGTCATATTAGCATTCGGTGATGTTGCAGTGAGGTGAGAGTCAGTACAGTCTCTGTGCATTCATCGCAGAGAGCTCATAATGCCTCACGTTTACAACTGTGCCAAACAGATAAGGTAACAATATGGGAACACACTCCGATGTACACACAGTGTTTAGCAATCACAGCATCTCCAATAGGACATTAGCAACAACAATCTCTAAACACAAGAATTCAAACTTTTGAGTTGCAGAGGAAAGATGTGCTGCTGGAAATAAATGTAAGCCATGAGCTGCTACCACAGGAGCGTTTACAGGAATACAGTTCTGACTACTCCTTCCTGAGCCGTGCTGCAAATGTGTGTCAGACTTTCAGTAAGTACTCACGGTAAGAATGTGTCAGACGAGTGCAAAGCCCTGATCACTCCCTGCTTAAATACATGCTGGCTGCAGGAAGACAAGATCCAGCTGAGTGTTTGGTGGAAAAGGGGGACGGAGAGAAGGAGCGAGTGTGTGACCTACGCTGAGCTGTGTTCTCGGTGTTCTCAGATGCTGTAGCTCTAGGTTCATTATACGAGAGATTTAAAACAGATCACATGGGCCACCGTAATATTACAGTGCACTGATTCACCATTGCTCTGCTTAAGGAGAGACTAGGGAAAAAAGGGTCTGGGGGTTGGGGGTGTGGAAACACAGATGGTCCAAACAACTTAACGTTGTACACTGGAACGTTTCACCATGCTTACAACTTGACGTGACTCACATGTATGTGGGAGCTATTTAGAAAAACACCCTTTAATGAAAGGTTTTTGTCATGTGTTGAATAAGTCATTTAAAACTTAATTTACTAATTTGGTAACTGTTGCTATCCAAAGCGATTTTCACTGTATTCAAATTATACCGTACATTTGATCAGTATGCGTGTTTCCTGGGAACTGAACCCATGACCTTGACATTTGGAGGACCATGCTCTTCTAGCTGAGCTACATTAATTGTGCTGCGCATGTTTTTTTTTTTTGACTGTATAAAGCACAAAAATACCATAATATGTTTGCAGAGATTTAGAAAACATGATACGTCCACATCCTTGTTTCTCCGAAAAACAATGCTACAGCCAGATATTCTACTTTTAAATGTGCATTTCATGTCGGAATGTCTGTTTTTGCTTTGGTCTCTGTGTGATCCCGCCCACTGTTAATATTTCCAATAGTATTTCGACACTCTGGGTAGCCATTTGGCAGAAAACACAGCGTATTGTAGCCATGGAAGCCAGCAAACAAACTAGGTCAGAGATTGTACATTTTAGCCAACCTAAAAAAGGCGGATAAATTAAGGCCCTATCCCAAATGGCACCCTTTGGTCTTTCGTGACGTAATGGCACTTTGACTGTCGGGAAGAAGTCTGCTGCGGAGCTTGCATCAGTGCAGGCTCGGCAAAAGTGTGCATCGAGGGTGCATAACGACCGCAAAGGGGGTGCTCGCAAGCACCCTTCTGAAACTTAAATTGACAAATGGGACACCCTACGGTCTCATGGACTTAACTAACACGTGCACGCAGCAAACATTGTAAGCCCACAAGACCCAAAATGCATATGAATTGAGCCATTTGGGACAGAGCCTAACTTACAGTGTAAGGCTCGTCGACTCGACTGTATTGTCAATTGCACTCGTTCCTGTTGCGTGTCCTCAATCTGACAACCAGCTTGAGCATGGAGTCAGAGGAGGATGAGACGGGAGAAACAACCCTCTCCAATATTTGGAATTTGGACTGCAGTACCCATTTCAACCACTAGCTGTCAATATTACATACTGCACCTTTCATACATTTCATTCATTCTTTGAGACTAGCATTTGGCAACCCATTTTAATTCTTTCTTTATTGCAACATACACTACCGTTCAAAAGTTTGGGGTCTGCAAGATTTTTAATTATACGGCTCTGTGGAATACTTGATTCTGATTGGTCAATAGTGCCATCCAGCGGTATGTTAATCCCAGATAACAACCGGTCCTCATCATCCTGTCGGGGGTTATTTTGAGAGGACCACCGGCTGGATGTACATTATCCCTTACTTATTTCACTTTTGAAAGAAGACTCCTATGCTCACCACTGGTGAGTCACCAGGCTTTTATTTTGTCAAAAATATAGTAAAAACAGTAATATTGTGAAATATTATTGCAATTTAAAGGTGCTCTATGTAACTTTTCTACTAAAATGAATCCTTTTTTTATCGCTGTGTGTGAAGGGGTTGTAATCACACATTAAAATGATCCACTTGTCGAGTTTTGCTATTACCTCTGAAGGCCAGTATTCCTATTTCTATGTGAAGTCTCCGGGTCGGACTTACCGCGAAATCCAACGGATGTGACGTGCATGCGCGCTCCCGAGCCTCTCTCCTTATATACAGTCTATTGTAGACGGTCAGGGAGTTACGTCGGGTTAAATGCGCACGTTTTTCGGCTTATATCTCAGTCAATCTTTGATCAATATTCCCAAGACTCTAATCGTTCGTAGTGCTGGACGGGGCCTTTCGAACAAGCCCACCCCCGAGGTCCAACTCGCCCGGCTCCCCGAGTTATAGCCGTTCGAAAACGGGGGTGCCAGCGAACGGCGATCCGGTAGGGGGCATCCCCGAGGCCCGCCACTCTAGCGTTTGGGCAAGGGTTCCCCTGGGACCTCCTCCCCCGAATTTGAGCTCTCTGGGTCTTTGCGTTCCAGAGATACGAGCGATTTTCTTCTGAGATAGTGACGTCACCGGCGTCCGCAATTTTGCAGCGCGCCCGATGGTTTTCTGCTAATATCTCCGCGAAAACACCACCAAAAACTATGGAACTTATATGGTTCTTTTCAGCTCGACTAGATGGTCCCAACGAGCTCGGTGCTCGCCGAATCCGTCTAGTATTCGCCGAGATATTTGCGTAATAGACGGTATTGTCTATGAGTTCGAGCACGAGCGCTCTTGTAAAATTTGGTTGCAATCTGAAACATCACCACTAGAGGCCGCTAAAAGTTACATAGAGCACCTTTAAAAGAACTGATTTGTATTTTAATATTTTAAAATTTAATTTATTCCTGTGATGGAAAAGCTGAATTTTCAGCAGTCATTACTCCAGTGTTGCATGATCTTTCAGAAATCATTCTAATATAATATAATATAATATAATATAATATAATATAATATAATATAATATAATATAATAATTTGGTGCTTTGAATAATAGAAAGTTCAAAATAACAGCATTTACTGTTATCAATTTTGATCAATTAAATGCAAAAAGAAAAAAAGTATTATTTTCTTTCATTAAATTTTTTTTTAATTCTTACTGACCCCATAGTGTATGTTCCACTGAAATAGGAATTCCACTGAAAAAGTTAAAAAGAAGGATGGCACTTGACTAATATAGCAAACCACATGAGGCAATCCATCTAAAATAAAACAGCTACTGATATGATTTAAGTCTTCACCTCA